TTGCTGATATATTCACTAAGTCGCTGTCGACGCCGCACTTCAAAACACTCCGGGACAAACTCACAATCGGCTCTGATCCATTCGTTTGAGGGGGGCTATTAGCATATTTAAATAAAATGTATTTACACTTTATTAAAACAATGCACCAATCTCTTGTATACACGTGTACTCCTACTATCCTAGGCTCTATTTATAGGACTTATTTGTACATTGCTTTATTCAAGAAAGCACTTCATCTTCTTCCTTTGTTCTCGTCTCCAACCACACCTGGAGCTTCATTTCTTTAGCAACCCCCTTGCTAATCCCAGCTGTACCAAACTCCCATAAACCTTTCCCATGGACTCTCAGTTCATGGATCACTCTTTATACATAAAACTTGTTGGTTCTCTCCAATATTTGACTCTCACTAGATCCGATATTTCCTATTCTGTCAATGTTCTTTCTCAACACATGCACGATCCCCTTCCTCAACATGCCTACCTTCTAAACCGACTTCTTCGCTATCTAGAAGGCACCCAATTCTTTGGTATTCCTATCATCAAGAGCTCCCTTATTCAACGATCTTACTCTGATGTCGATTGGGTGGGTGATCCAGTATCCAGGAAGTCAACATCAGGTTATTGTTCCTTTCTTGGAGACACACTTATCTCTTGGACAGTTAAGAAGCAGCATACCGTCGCTCGATCATCTATAGAATCTTAATATAGGGCACTTGCAGCAGCTACCGTGGATATTATCTGGCTTCGCAGAATCCTCTCGGACTTCGGCATTGCTCTCTCTCAACCAACTGATCTACATTGTGATAACACTTCAGCCATTGTACTAGCCAACAACCCAATCTATCACGCACTACATGAAAAACGTCATTTTCCGGCGGCCATTTTTGTCGAAAAATGGTCAAAATCCGTCAGAAAATTGCATTTCTGGCGGAAATATTTTCGCCGGTTTCACGCTCGTCGTAAAAGGACTTCAGATGAAAATGAATTCGCCGGAAACATTTCCGACGAAATTTCCGCTAGAAAATATTTTGGTCAAAATTTGTATGTGCTGGAATGGCAACGAAAAAAAAAATCATTTGATCAGCCACTGCCCCCCACACATCCGCGGCTCCACCTCATGCCCCAGCCCTCCCGTGGTCCCGTGGACACACCCCGCCCATGTGAAAGCTGCCCCAACGCCTGACCCGCCTGCCCACGTGAACCGCAGACCTGCCCCGCCTTCGACGGGATTTGAACTCCGCCCACCTCTCCTGCGCGTAAACCAAAAACTATTAAATATGTTACTTTTTTTATTTAACCTATTACCTATTAATTATTAAATCAATTAATTAAATTTAACAAAAAATTTAAAATTAATTAACTTAAATTAACAATATAAATAATTTTAAAATTTTATTATAATTTAAGTTTAAATTTAAATCATTTAATTTTTTGTTATTATATTTAATTTATTTTATTATAATTTAAGTTATTAAATTCAATAATTTAAGTTATATTTTAAAATAAAAAATATTAATTTTTAATTTCCATCGGAAATCCACCGGAAATGCCGCCGGAAATGCCTTTTGAAAACATTCGTCGGAAAACCAGTCAAAAATTATGTTAGAAATTCGTTGACAAAAATTCGCCGGAAAGTTGTGACGAATTTACTTCCGCCGGAAATTCTGTCAGAAATGAGCTATTTTCCTGTAGTGACGCCCGTACAAAACATATTGAAATTGATCATCGATTTATTCATGATCGTATCATTCATGGGAATATTAGGCTGCTTCTGATCAATATAGTGGATCAAATTACCGATATATTTACAAAGCCTCTGTCTACACCAAGATTCCAACAGCTCCGACTCAATCTAACAGTCTCTCAACCATCATCAGATTGCGAGGGAATGTTAGAGCATAAAGAAAATAAACCAAACTAGAACTGTCCAATCATTATCTGACACGTGTACTCTCTACCTATCCTGTATCTATATATAAGATTGTATTGTAATGAATAAGATAGGCAATAAAGATTTTCCTTTCTCTGTCTCGTCTTCGTTCTCTGCTTTCTCTTTGGTTCGCCAAATCAAGAAGCTCTGCAGATCCTTAGTTTCTTCAAAGATCCCTCTCAATTCTGTTAAGGCAAAGTAATTGCCATCCCTTAATTAATTATCTTTTTCTGATTAATCACTATCCTTTATGTTTAACCAATTGATCAATTCTCTACCGTTAGACATAGTATATCATGCATATAAAACTTTCTGTTATGTACTGTTGAAAGGTATAGATAGGATAGAACTAGAAAATGAATACAGCACATGTTAGAGTTATGATTTCTCTGCTACGGTTTGCTGCAATTCTTCAAGGCCTGAAGTCGTCTCCCGACCAAGCCTGAAGTCGTCTCCCAACAATTGGTCATGATATCTGTAGTCTATGCGAATGCATAGTTTGTATTATGCAGCTGAATCTTCCCAAACATCCGTGTGTAGCAGATCTAAGACAGACATCTTGCGACTAGATGATTTTTCAAACAGGATCTTGTGAGTCTTAGAAACATTACAAGAATGACATATAGAATTAGTAGCATTTATATGTAAAAAAAGATTAGAGACAGATATAGTATGCATAGTGCTTTTACTCGGATGGCCCAGCCGATTATGCTAGGAAAACGGAGAGGCCTTGATCGCTGAGTACGCATTAGTCTGGGACGCACTATCAGTGTTGTGAAGGATCTGGTAGAGGCCATTGCTACATGGTCCTCGAGATAGTGTTTCATGTGTCTTCAAGTCCTTCAAACAAACCCATTAGGATCGAATGTAATAGAAATGTTGTTGTCTTTAGTTAGTTTTGAAATATAGAGCAAGTTGTATTGAAGAGAAGGGGTATGAAAAATTTTAGAAAGAACCAACTTACGAGCAGGTGTTTGCAGGACACCTGTGCCAGAGTGAGCTATACCCACCGAGCTGCAGTTGCCTGTAGTAATACCGTCTGATCCGTGATATGAGTTTGAGACGGATAGGTTTTCCAGCAAATTGATGAGATGAGATGAGGCCCCCGAATCAAGAAACCATTCATCCGTGGATCTTGAATTTCCGGCGAGTAGACCAGTGTTGGACTAATTTTGTGTTTGTGGGACATATTGAACGTTGAGTCGATGCCAGTATGTAGTCGCCGAGTGACCCTTCTTGAAACAGATTTGACATGTAATTTGCGGGTTGTTATAGGACAGATTTGAGCTCTGAGTTGAGTGTCCCCTAGAGCGACATCCTCTACCAGGGTTGGAGAACATTGCCATATTTGGATCAACAGAAGATGTGCGAGCTGCATCTAATGCGATGTTGATCTCTTCACTAAGAAGAAGAGCATATAGATTGTCAAGACTAATGGGAGAGAGCATTGTGCGAATAGAAGTCTTGAAAGATTGATATGAGCGTGGGAGTCCGTTAAGGATATGTAGAACAATGTCTTCGGTGTCAAGTTTGGAGCCGGCGGAGGAGATTTGATCCACATGAGATTTGATATCGGAGAGATATTGAGTCATGGTAGAGTTGTTGAGGGAGATATGGTGTAAGGCGTTCTTTAATTGAATAACCTGTGAGCGATTATTGGCTTGGAAGTGGTTTTCAAGAGTTTGCCGGATCCGTGATATGAGTTTGAGACGGATAGGTTTTCCAGCAAATTGGTGAGATGAGATGAGGCCCCCGAATCAAGAAACCATTCATCCGTGGATCTTGAATTTCTGAAAAGTACAGCAGTGTTGGACTGATTTTGCGTTTGTGGGACATATTGAACGTTGAGGCGATTCCAGTATGTAGTCGTCAAGTGACCCTTCTTGAAACAGATTTGACATGTAATTTGCGGGTTGTTAGAGGGCCGATTTGAGCTCTGAGTTGAGCGTCCCCTAGAGCGACGTCCTCTACCACGGTTGGAGAACAGTGCCATATTTGGATCAACAGAAGATGTGCGAGCTGCATCTGATGCGATGTTAATCTCTTCATTAAGAAGAAGAGCATATAGATTGTCAAGACTAATGGGAGAGAGCATTGTGCGAATAGAAGTCTTGAAAGATTGATATGAGCGTGGGAGTCCGTTAAGGATATGTAGAACAATGTCTTCAGTGTCAAGTTTGGAGCCGGCGGAGGCGATTTGATCCACATTAGATTTGATATCGGAGAGATATTGAGTCATGGTAGAGTTGTTGAGGGAGATATGGGGTAAGGCGTTCTTTAATTGAATAACCTGTGAGTGATTATTGGCTTGGAAGTGGTTTTCAAGAGTTTGCCAGATCTCAAAATATATATATATATATATATATAAAGTGTTAATCACGCACCACCGTAAGTCAACTCCAACAGGGGCGGAGCAAGAATTTTTTTCATGTTGGGGCACAAATCATTAAGTAAAAAAAGTTTCAATTTTTTTTATCCGAGCTTGGAACCAGTATAGGTGGTTTTTATTATTATTTTTTTAAAATCATTATATTCATTATAAAAAGATAAAATATATGATAAAAAAAACTTACAATTGAGAACATTAAGGCTTCATTTGGGATTGCTTTTTTACCACTACTTAAAGCAGATTTCTAGTATAAAAATTAACTTCTAGTAAATTTTTTGTATTAGAAAGCTGCTTTAAGAAGTACTAAGAAAGCCGTCCCAAATAGACCCTAAATCTTGAGATTCTTCTTATCTATCATATATAAATTCTTCCATCCAGTATTTATATTTTAAAATTATTATAAAATAAAACCATTGTCAATACTATTAAATATATCAATTTAAATATAAATAAGTAAACATGCATTTATTCAGGAGTCTCTCTGTAGAAACAAGAACCGTGATCTTGGATCAAGAAGAAATTCAAAATAAGAAGAAGAAGAAGTAGTATTTCATTTTCAGTAAACAGTAACAGAGGATTACAAGTTATTATATAGGCACTAGAAAATGTAACAGCCAAAAGACTAATGCCACATAAGCAACACCACATAAGTAGTAGATAATTATTTATTTAATTATTATCTCTATACACTTAATATCTCCCCGCAAGCTAAAGGGTCGGCAGAGACAGTTAGCTTGTTCCTTAGTGTAAGAAATCTTGGTGTTGATAGAGCTTTAGTAAAGATATCCGCCGTTTGATCAACAGTGCTGATAGGAAGAAGTCGAATATTGTTTTGCTGAAGATGTTCCCGGACATATTTCTGATCAATTTCGATGTGTTTTGTTCGGGCATGGAAGACAGGATTGTTAGCTAAGGCAATTGCCGACGTGTTATCACAAAAGATTTCCGTCGGCTCCGTTTGATCAATCCCAAATTCAGAAAGTAGTCTCCGAAGCCAAATAATGTCCGTTGTAAGGGCAGCTAGCGCTCGATACTCTGATTCAGTGGAGGAGCGAGCAACCGTATGCTGTTTCGTGACCGTCCAGGAAATAATGGTGTCTCCAAGGAATGAGCAATATCCGGACGTTGATCTTCTCGTATCCGGATCTCCGGCCCAATCAGCATCTGAAAATGATTTAAGATGTAGATTAGTTTTAGTAATAGGAATTCCAAAGGCAAGCGTACCTTGAATATAGCGTAGTAGGCGTTTGAGCATGAAGAAGTGTTGCGGTTGAGGGTCATGCAGGTGCTGAGACAGTTGATTTACACTATACGCAATGTCTGGACGCGTGAGTGTTAAATACTGTAACGATCCTGTGGAGCGTCGGTAGAGCTGAGGATCTAGTGATGAATCCGAAGAGTATGAGGGCGGGAATTTGGTGCAGGTGGGATTGGCGAGCGGTTTGCAGCTAGCAAGATTCATTTGCTGAAGTATGGCTGTAGCATACTGCCGCTGAGATAAGAAGTATGTGTCCTTGGTTTTAGTAATTTTGATGCCAAGGAAATCATGGACCGGTCCGAGATGCTTCATGGAGAAACGAATACTGAGTTGATTAATCACTGAATTAATTGCAACATTGTCATTTCCTGTAATCAATATATCGTCAACATAAACAAGTAAGAAAATGGAAGTTTGCTGATTTCTAAGAATAAGAAGAGAAGGATCCGATTTACTGTGAGAGAATCCAATCGAGATTAAGAACGAAGTAAACGTGTTATACCATTGGCGCGGTGCTTGTTTTAGACCATAGATGGCCTTGTGAAGTTTACATATGTGATTAGGATACATAGAGTCTTCAAACCCGTGAGGCTGTCTCATAAAAACTTCTTCGGTTAAGGTACCGTGAAGGAACGCGTTTGCAACATCCAATTGATCTACCGTCCAGTTGTTGTAAAGAGCAACAGCCAAGAGAATGCGTATGGTTGGGAGTTTGGCCACCGGACTAAATGTCTCATTATAATCCAGTCCAAACTCTTGATGGTTTCCAAGTGCTACAAGCCTTGCTTTGTATTTCTCAATTGATCCATCTGCACGCACTTTTGTTCGAAATGTCCACTTGCAGCCAACAACAGAGTATTCAGGTTTTGGTTCTACAAGACTCCACGTACCCTGACGTTGTAGTGCTAAAAATTCTTGAGCCATCGCATTTCTCCATTCTGGTAGTTTGCAGGCTTGAGCAAACGAGGTAGGTGTATCTAGCTCAGGGTTTAAATTGACCGAATGGAGCAAATTTAAACGAGCTGTGGGTTTTAGATGACCAGTTTGTTTTCTTGTAACCATAGGATGAATGGATTGCTTTGCAGCTGTTGGCACAGGTGATGGATCAGGAGATTGCACCCGTGTAGAGGATGAAGAAGTCCTGTAACGCGAATCCTTGCAAGCAATATTAGTAGGAGGCTCAAGCTGTCTTGCTTGAGGAACGGATAGTGGAAGCAACAAATTCGGATTAGTAGGTAAGTTAACACAGTTATTGTCATGAGTAGTCAGCGACGGTTTATGAAAAGGAAATAAGTTTTCGTCAAAAGAAATATGCCGAGAGAATGTGATTTTATTGTTTGAAGTATCCAAACATTTATATCCTTTGTAAACATCAGAATAACCAAGAAAAACGCATACAGGTGCTTTTGGTTGTAATTTGTGAACATAATGTTTCGGAGATAATGGAAAACATGCACAGCCAAAAACTCTTAGATGACTATACGTGGGTTTGAAATTAAAGAATAATTCAAAAGGAGTAACATGAGAAGTGGTAGAAGAAGGTAACCGATTAATTAAATAGGTTGCTGTAAGAACAGCGTCTGGCCAGTATTGGAACGGGATCGATGCAGTTTGTAGAAGAGTTCTTGTTGTTTCAATCAAGTGCCGGTGCTTACGTTCAGCTACCCCATTCTGTTCCGGGGTATAAGGACAAGACAGCTGCCGAGCTATGCCATGTTTGTCCAAGAATTGATTGAACTTATGGTTGACGAACTCTGTACCACCGTCAGACCTGAAAGTTTTAATGCTAGACATTGTGTTCTTTTCAATTTTAGTTTTAAAAAGAACAAAGATATCAAATACTTCAGATTTTTCTTTCATAGGAAATATCCAAGAAAATCTGGAAAAATCATCCACGAACAGCACATAATACCGGTACCCTTGATTGGAAGTGACCGGAGCAGGTCCCCACACATCAGAGTGAATAAGTGATAACGGAGCATTGCTACGGTTATTAGAATTTTCAAAAACTATTTTATGACATTTGGATTGTTTACACGGTAAGCAAGTAATATTGTCAGTGTTTATTTTTAATAGCGGATTACACTGAGAAATATTTTTCATCACCCTATCATTGGGATGACCTAATCTATGGTGCCATTTGATTGAATTCTTGGAGACAGCCGTGAGTCCAGCTCCAGAAGTAGAAGAATGCTGATGCTTTATGGGATATAACCCATTTTCACACGGGCCTTGAAGCAGGACCTGGTTTGTCTTCATATCCTTAATCAAAAAACCAGTGGGATTAAAAGTAATAGAAATATTGTTTTCTTGAGTAAGTTGAGAGATAGAAAGTAAATTAAATTGCAAAAATGGTGTATGAAAGATATGGGATAGAAGAAGATTACGGTTGGGAGTCGGTAAGAGTCCATTACCTGTATTAGCAATGTTCACCGATCTCCCATCACCTACGGTTACTGTATCGGATCCTTGATACGGTGTGGCAATGGACAAGTTGTCCAGTGAGTTGGTGAGATGATTGGTAGCACCCGAGTCAAGAAACCACTCTGAGTAGGAGGTGTCGGAGGATGCCGCCAATGCTCTGGGTTGCGAGTGATGTTGTTTAGGAACATAATCGAGATTCGCTCGGTGCCAGCAACTGGAGGCCAGATGACCCTTCTTTTCACATATCTGACATATCACCTGAGAAGTGGTTGAGGTGCGAGACGTCGTTGCATTGTTCGTCGATGTTCTGCCCCTAAATCTTCTGCCTCTGCCGCGAGTAGCGAATAACACCGAATGAGAATCAGGAAAGGAGACAGCACGAGCAGCGTCAGAGGCAATATTCACTTCTTCGCTGAGAAGCAGGGGATAAAGCTGATCCAGAGAGATGGGCGTTAACATCGTCCGAATCGAAGTCTTGAACGACTGGTACGCCTGTGGGAGACCGTTGAGAATGTATAAGATGATATCTTCATGATCCACCGTAGCACCAGATGCCGAAATTTGATCAACAATTTTCTTGATCTCAAATAGATATTGGCTGATGGATTGATTCTTGAGTGATATGTTGTGAAGGGAATTCTTGAGCTGGATAACTTTTGATCTATTTGTGGATTGAAATCTTGTTTCAAGCATATAGACCAAATTGCAGCCGTAGATTCAAGATGAACAACGTAAGGTAAAATGGTAGACTAGATCGTAGAACAGAGGGCAGCGGCAAGATTCTGATCCACGAGGAGCCATTGATTTTGCTGATGAGCTTGAGTAGAAGTTCCTTCAGATTGAGATGGAATCATGACCGGAGAAGAGGAAAGAAACCGATCAAACCCGTTTGCACGAAATTTTTTTGCGATTTGTGCTTTCCATACGGGATTGTTGTCGGCATCTAGCTGAATGGAGACGATCGTCTTCAAGTTCGATACGACGAACTTCAGCGCAGATGGAATTGTCGAGTCTTCCATTTCCTCCATCTCCGATTTTTCTCCTTGATCTGAAGTAGCAGAGCTCATTTCGAAACCAATCCTTCTTTCCTAGCTCTTGATACCATGTAGAAACAAGAACCGTGATCTTGGATCAAGAAGAAATTCAAAATAAGAAGAAGAAGAAGTAGTATTTCATTTTCAGTGAACAGTAACAGAGGATTACAAGTTATTATATAGGCACTAGAAAATGTAACAGCCAATAGACTAATGCCACATAAGCAACACCACAAAAGTAGTAGATAATTATTTATTTAATTATTATCTCTATACACTTAATACTCTCAAACGATTGTGCAATCAAGTCATTACCAAAAGAAAATATGCTAGTTAAAAGATAAATAACTAAAAAAATTTACTATCAACTGTTACACAAGTAACAAAGCAATAGAGCACTCTCAATCCTTCGCTTATGAAAATGGTTCTGAATGCAAAAATTACAACATTAACAATTATAGGAAATTCCATAACAAAACAAAATCGGCTTAACAAAAAAATAGCAGAAATAGGATTTCGCCTGGATTAGTTTTAATTATTAATATGATAGTAAAGTTAATAAAAATGCTTCAAAAAACAGGGAAACAAATTAACAATGGCGTGATCATGAATTCCCTTATGGGAAGTAATTTTTACAAACAAATTTAAACACCATCAAAAGGATATATTTATGAGAAGTTATTTTTACAAACATAAAATGTCTTAAAAACAAAGAAAATTATTACATTCACCTTAACAAAGAAACAACAGAAAAATAAGAGAAAAAATTATCTGATTGCAGTTTTCTCACAGAATTATTGCAATATTTTTCTCAAAATAATATATTACATTTCACTTAACAAACAAAACTAAAAGCAGATAAATTATAGAAAAAAATTATGTGAGGGTTTGGTTTTTTGTAATTCTTCCTTTAGAGAAAGTATCAGAAAATCTGCTTCGGAAATTTGCTTCAGAATATTAGTGTATTACCTTTTGATTCCTGATAACATCATAACTCAGAAGGAGAAAGAAATGAAGAATATTACCTTTTGATTCATCAAATGTCCCAAAGAGACAAGAACTTTGCACATGAAATTGCCGACTGCAGTCGCCGCTCGCCCATCCACCGTCTCGTTGCAAGCCGTTTATCCGCGGTGAAGAAGAAAGCAGCGACGGTGAAGAAAAAAACAGTGACATTTATCTTCTTTTTTTCCGATCTGTCTGCCTTCTATCCGAAGAGGCGGTAATCTTAGTACAAAAAACCCCCAAAAATTACTTTTAATTGTAATTAGGTAGCAATAAATGTACTTAATTAAACATCAACTAAAAAGCCAGTGGGGGCCGTGCCCTCAGGCCCCCCATGATAAATCTTCCAGTGTCTCCAACTTTTGAACACATGCTCAAACTTTTGAACACATGCTCATACATTTAGACAGCTAATGATTTGCTTTCATAAATTTATTGTAACAAATGAGGCTTGTTTGACAAAGTTCAATTTCAGATTTCTAACCTCTCCTTTTCATCATACCAACAGAGTCTTAAATTGTAGTATGAATTCTTTTTTGAGCTTTATTAGTGTTAATACTTGAACGAGATGTTTGAAGTTGTAGGCAACTTTAATGAAGAGAACCAAGACATAAATGCAGAAGATGCAAATTTAATAAGCAAGTTGTCGGAATGAGAGTATTTGCGTTAAGAAAAAAACATAAAAGACCATATGGGACAAAATAATAAAAAAAAATAAAGCCAGATTAGACTAGACACACTTCAGTGCGAGAATGCTGGAGCGTTTAGGGAGAAGCAAAGAGTTGAACGAAGCGAATTGAAGGGAAGATAGATAGAGGAATTTGTGATGCCCGGAGGATCATCATACAT